TATATATATATATATATATATATATATATAATGTGCCATCAACAAAATTTAATCATCAAGCACAACTCTAGAAGCATTCTAAGCAAGAAACATTCTAAAATTAAATTCAAGATCATTTGAGAACTGATTTCAAAAAGTGTATTTCCAAACTGAACATCTCGGCAAGATATACCAAATGACACTAAAAGGGATCCAATCAAAATCCAAATGAGCCTAGTTAAAATACTTGAAATGTGATTGAAGGCCAAAATATCTCAAAATTTAGCATGTTTATGGCCTAATCAAGCATGTGGACGAGATAAATCTAACGGGCATATGATCATTTAATTCTGAAGTTGTTAAGATACTTAAATTTTGAAAAAAAAAATCTCAATCAACAGAATAAATGGGAACCGTCTAATTGAGTATTATGAGATATTGGCTAAATCTACTAAAAAACATCTCTCAAAAACTTTAAATAAGGCTCTTTTATTCACTTGAGGAGTGGAACGAAAGGAGAAAGTAAGCTGTCTACTAAGCTTATCTCTTAAAATTCTAGCAATTGTCATTGGTCGCCTAAGATCGAGAACAACCACCGAAGGATATTGTTGACCACCAGACGGTAGGAACTAGCTTCGTTTTTTAGGATGGAAAAATTGCCCCTAGACCCAACGAGGGAGGGGCTAGGGCAACGAAGGGCAAAATGATATTTCAGGAGGGGTTAAATTTATATTTTAGGAGGGGTTGGAGATCAAATTGTTCTCTCATATAAGTAAAAATCTAAATTTGAGTAGGAGGGAGGGAGGTTGGTGGTGGGGGGGCATTGCTCCCATGAACCCTACCTGAGTCTGCCCCTGCCACCAGAGGTTGTCAGCTACTAGAGATTTATGCTGACCACTAGCCATTGTCAGCGACCATCAACAATTGTTGCAATGAATGACAATTATTATACTTTCAATTACCCATATACAATTATTTTTGTCGAGTTCTTTCAAAACAGTTATAATCTCAACATAATCTTGCAATCATATGTTCCTCAATTCAGGTAAAGAATGACATTTGTACTTCTCATTACATAACATATTATTTTAATTGGGCCTCACTTGTAATTTTTATTCTTATTTCAAGGATTTTTAATTTAATTTCTTTTACATATGTGTGTGCTAGAAAATTATACTCAACAAAGCATATGATTTTTTTTTTTGCCGTTAAGATTTTTTTAATCCAATTTGTCTTTTACATATATGTGTCGCTCATCATAATTCTTTGGTAGTGCCGCCTTACGTAAGTCCCTTGGGGTCACAGGTTTGCTCCCGGCTGAGTGCATCTGTCTTGCAATGCGGGATTAAGTGGTTAGACGCATAAGGGTGGTTGGGGCCTCGTATCATAACTTCCAGTCATTCTTTCATGCAATGGCCATCTTTATCTCTACAAGCTATGGGTGGAATAATAAGATAAAAGGAATTTACATACATACCAGTAATTCTTATGTATTTACATATCTAACACCGAAACTTTGATATATACATTTCTACCGCCCAAGATTTTCATATCACATAAAATTGTAGTATTTAAACTTTTAAAAAGTGAAATACATATTTTTTTTTCATGCATATATAAGATACATATATGTAAAAACTAAAGCCTACATCTGATATATGCAAATAAGAATTGAGTGGTATGCTTATAATTCCTATAGTTAAAGATATTTATAAATTTATTAAATATTATTGATGTATTAAAAAAATTATTTAAAATAACAAAAGTCTATATCCCTATTATTTTTAAATTTAATTTTTTTCAAATTAAAATAAATAAATAAATCATAAAAAGTAAATTGAAGTAAATATTAGTTTTCATTAATTTTGTGTTCTATAAATATGAAAGCACATCAATAATTAATTAATTGTGTTAATATAAATAAATATATATATTATTGTGTTAACATATTTATATACTGAAAATGGTGCAACAATTAATACCTCTTCTGCCGTATATTAATTAAAAAAATTTAGATTTATGATAATAAAACCTTTATTATTATTTTTTAATTATGTACTAATCAGGTAATTAACTTTATATTACACAGAGATGCTAGACAAAAAAGAGAAAGCACAATGGAAAGAGCAGCCGGTGTACCTCTGGTGTTCTTCCTCCTCTGTTGCTCCTCTCTTCTCGCCTCGCTCAATCTGTCGGTAGCGCAGACCCCGATACCAGCCAAGTACGACGGATTTGTGTATGGAGGTGGATCGTTATGGAAGGGTTTAGTCATAATAGAAGCTTTTCTCGACCCGATGTGCCCAGATAGCAGAGATTCTTGGCCTTCGCTGAAGCAAACTCTAAAGTTTTATTACCCTCGTGTTTCTCTCGCTGTTCATCCGTTTGCTCTCCCGTGAGTCTATCTCTCTCTCGTTGGTGCATCTTTTTTCAATCTCGGTTTAATTTTTTGTTTCTTTTTTGGTTAGATTGGTGCGTGTTGTGTTTACGACAATTTTTGTGGTTGTTTTGATGAGTATTTTGTGGCTGATTCGAATTGATTTGAGCTAAATAAGACCCAAAATGGTGGGTAGAACCCTAGAGAGTGTAGAACAGAAGTCTCTGATACTCCTGATGGGTTTTCTCAGTTAATTAAGTTCTTCTATTCTTCTTCTACTGTATAGATTCGCTGAATAATTTCGTGATATTTTAAGTTTCTGCTGGACTTTTAGAGTTTTCTTAAGTTGGTCTCGCTTTCTTTCTACGTTGCGTCATCGAATTGATTGTCGGGAAACTGCAGCCAAAAAAAGGATTCAGAAGCCTATAAAATCCTGAACAGGGCTGTAAATCGATTCCTTTTGGATCGCTAAATAATTTTCAGCCGTTCTTGCACTGAATACGATATCTTTTTTCAACTGAAGTGTTACACTTCTTTATCGATAGAGCAATTTTACGTACCTTTTTGTGAATTATTTGTTTTGGTGGAATGATGACGATCTAATCAAGCACCCAACTTTTTTATTATTATTATTATGAATAGTGAAAGATTTATAAAATAAATGATTGGGAGCATGGAAAAATTAATTAAAAGAATATTAAGTTCTATGAAATAAAAAAATTGGATCAGGATAGATCACGAAGCTCATTGAATTGTTTTAAGATTAATGTACTTGATGTGTGTCAAAAAATCTGTGGCGGTAGAATAACAGATTATTATCCTAGCATTATACTAGAATTTAGCACACACACAAATGAAAGAGAAACAAACATAGATGACTCCAGAAATTTTTTACGTGTAAAGCCCGGAAATGGAAAACCACGGGAACTGACACAGTTGCGAAAATCCACTATTAATTGATGATTACAGAAATCTCTTGTCTCACATACGAGAAAAAGTAACCATATTTTCGGATTACAGCGTCGATTGTCGGCGTCTGGTAGGTGGTGATTGACGACGGTCAGCGGTGGTCGACGACGGTCGACGGGGATCAGCGGTGGTCGACGGAGGTCGGTGGTGGTCGTCGACTGACAGTGGTGGTCGCCGACGGCAAATAACGATCGATAATGGCAAAGATGATGTTAGACTTCAGCTCATTCTTAAAGTCTCAAGTTATCTCTAGTCTCCTTCTTCATGTGAGGGGTGAGACTCTATTTATAGTGTTCCAGGTACAATTAATGCAGACATATAAATCATTTTGATCGAACAGTTCGATAAGCTTTTCTCGACTAGATGATATTTGATGGACATTTGAGTGCCTTAACGATATCGAAATTGAGCAATTTTGGGCTCATTGGATTCATCTTATCGAGATGTTCGATTCGACTATAAGCTAGCTAAATTCGACATCCGTTTGATCTTCCAAATGTATCCAAAAATCTTCTGAGAGTGGTTTAATGTTTTGATCTAGGCCTGATCTGACTTGAATTAGACTAGAATCATTGGATCTGTCTCATCAAGCCGGTCAGTTTGATTATAAGTTTACTGAAATCGGAGCTTTGATGACTTTTAATTGAAATTTGAATGTTTCTTGCTCAAAATATTGGCTCGAGATTTGTGATGGATGATGAAAATTAGTTGGTGGCGTATTTGTAATATTCACTATTTTTATATTAAACTTATCCAGTTATCTAAAAGCTTTTAATACTTAATCTAACTTATTCTATGGAAGTATAAGGAAAAGGTCAAATAGACCTATGGGCGATTTCAATTTTTTTTTTTGTAATTAAATCCACAAAAATTGATAAATATTTTAAGATATCTAAATGTAATAATATATAATATGATATAATAGAAATTTAGTATATTATATTTAATATTTTAGTTAATTAATGATTAAAATATTATTATTAAATAGATTGCACACTTAATTAATAATGATATTATATGATATTATACATACATATATATGTATGTATATATATATATATGTATGTATATATATATATAT